GAACAGTGAGTCAGCCACTGCCAGATTGGATAAGTAGATGTTGATGATTGTATGCATGGACTTCACTCGGATGACTGTGAAGAGAAAGACGATGTTCACGAGGAGACCGAGGGGTGCGACGATTTCAGTGCTTAACCAGATTATGTGTTGAGTAGAAGTAACACTTTGGATATACTCTGATGCATACTTATTCCTATCAGCCATCATTACCGTTGCATCAGTATGTGCTTCCAACTTTATTTAGATATTGCAGAGAGCAGTTTCCTCTGCCAACTATGTGCATAAGATCTTTACAAAAGTGAAATTGAATTGAAAGTTTTTTCACATTTTTCCCATTACCACTTATCAGAATCCCTGTAACTGTGGTCTTGGGTGCCGATACAGTAATTGAACTCAAGGAAAAGCAAGCCACGAAGAATATGACACTTGACCCTGGGCATAATTTCTTTCTGTTTCAGATTTAATGGGTTTGGACTCGCTTAAAAGGTGCATGCTCAGGCCTATATCATCAAATACACGGAAGTCTAACGCTGCATGCTGTACATGTGCATCATATTAGCTGATACATGAGATTTAGTTTTGCTTGGTTTGTAGATATGTCAAGATATAGAAAATGAAAGTAAATTGAAATATGATCTCAAGCCTTTTGGTTTGCACACTTCAAAATTTGCATAAATGCTCTTTATACAATCCTGTTACAGTGCTCACGACATCTTGGTCATTATCATTAGTACGTGTAAGGCTAAGTAAAATTAATTTTATGTATTTACATGTATGTAGGTTTTCATCACTCAGATTAAAAAAACTTTTAGGGGAAAGCATTTAATTTTATACGCACTTCTTCATGTCAAAAGTGAATTAAATGAAGTGGGGCTGATATATGGTAATATACATGTACCTAGGAAGGGAATCAAACAGCTGGTCCTTGTGGCGCTAAGTTTACATACCTAGTTTGGACTAGTGAACAAAAGATGTCCTCACGATGCAGGAAGGGAAGATGTTCTGTGGACTTAACCATGTCCAAAGGACGTTTCACCTTCTCTGAGGTATAGAGTCATTTTGGGGTTAGGGTCATCAGGGTTTGCCTCCAGGTCGGTGGGACGATACCCATAGATTTGTTGAGAAGTTTGAAAAATACATTTAATTGAAGAAAACACTTCTCCAGGATAAAAGTAGAAAAAGAGGTTGATGTGGGCATGAAAATTTGAGCAGGAAGTAATGAAAGCCGGTCAGTATGTTGACTGACATAACAGAGGATTTGTGTGGAAGCTAACAATGTGGTCACTTTAATAATGAGAGAATTACAGTTCATTTCAAGCCTTTAGTGTTTCTCTTCTCACAGATATCAGAATTCTGATCCATAAGGCCTAACTCCATGATATTTTGCCAAGAATAGGTGAAAAACATGGGAAATGTTGCATCAGCACACTAAACCAAAACACACGAAGAGAATTTAATTTGGGGGACTTTGCAAGTTGTTATTGCACAGAAATGTGTTCATTCACTCATGCAACTAGCATACTGGTAGTTTGTTAAATCTGTATTCCTTTAAGTTTGGTCCTGTCTTGTTCATGAGAGTGCATGCAAAGAGTTTTCACTTAATAAACAGTAAAAGTGATCTATACAATATTGTTGTCATTTTATATCATAAATGGTGGCATCTTGGATGTACATGGATTGCAATCACATTGTTCAAAAGCGACCTGCTACATTCTTCCTGGCTGATTCCTGGCTGGGGCATTAATTGATCTGAGGAGCTTTGCTATGGTCTGCTCCTGAGACTATGACTTGTATGCTAAGATGGGTTGGTATTGTTGGAGCTTGAACACCGTTCACAAAGGTACCCATAGATATTGACATGAAGGGGATGATACCGTTGTGCTACGTCATTGTTGCATTGGAATCTCTATCGTCAGTTCATCCTGGAATACATCTCACTTTGGAACTTACAAGTGTTGTTGGTGTTCTTGAGACTGTTCTTCATTAGTGGAATGGGTTATGAGTGAGTGAGTGAGTCACTCCTAACATTGTTCTTGACAACTTTCAAACAGTTGATACCATTAGAATCCATTCT